AAAATCTTATATCCTATTCACGTTTTCTCATCCACGCTACTATTGAGGTTTGTTTGGGGAGTTCTCTTAGCCATTTCCAGTGCTCACCATTACATTATTGAATGGTCCTGCATGGATTGCATACTATCTGGCTTATCGTATGCAAGTAACAACTATGAAATAGATGTCAATCAAAGCAAATATCATTAAAATATGTTTCAAGTAGACATCATGCAGTGCTAGGCCTTATTTTGTTTACGTCGCACAAAATGACTTAGTAAGTACAGCACTAAACAATGTTCTACGTAAGCTGTACATTTGTGCTGTGATAATCATTTGACAACAAACTCAGGAAACAGTGAAATTATGCCATTCAGTCGAACAAATTTCGTGGGACCGTTACAAGCGATTCAATTAGGAAATTATTGCCTTAACTGCTTAAGCATGTTGAGAGAACGATATGCTTTGGTTTTGAAACCTAATTGGTGTTTAAATTAAATGAAAGTGAAAGTCATCTTAACTCCCACCGAGATTAGGTAGGCTGTGTTTTATCACAAAGTATATATTGCCTACAATCATATACATGCAGATTTAAGGCGAATTATTTCGCGCGACGCAATTTTTTTGCTGTGAGCATGCGCATTGCAATCAATGACGAATTTTCTCTCTCTCCTTCAGGGGGCAAAAGGTTTTGAGCTTAGAATTCTTCAGGGGTAACGGTTTTTGAAATTATAATTCTTCAGGTGTAAACGGTTTTGAGCTTGGAATTCTTCGCGATCAGGGGTAGAAGGTTTTGAGCTTGGAATTCTTCAGGGGTAAAGGGTTTTGAGCTTGGAATTTTGGAATACTTCAGGGGTAAAAGATTTTGAGCTTGAAAATCTCCAGTTGTATAACAATGAAAAACATGTATCCTCGACAGGGGGGTTGGGGGTACGGATATTAAATGAAATAGTCCAATATTGTTTTAACTTTTAAACTAAGTAAATATTTGGAGCACTATGTCTATAAAATTTGAAAAGGAGATTGAAATTTGCAAGATACCCATTCAAATGTCGACGACTTTCAATTGACTGAATTTGCAAACAGGCTGAAGCCTGAAATATTTTAATAAAGGTAAGTATTTGTTTTCTAGTTTTATCGTAATGCATGAATAGGCGGAATAACTAAGTTTTGTTTCTAGTTTTATCATATAATAATTACATATAATGCGTTCATGAATATCTGAATTGCGTGAGTATCCAATATAGTATAGTTATACTAATGGCATTATTAAAGTAAAAATATATTATTGTATGTATTTTTAATACTGTAAATTTTCTTACTAAAACGGATTTTTAATATTTTAGTGGATTTTCTTCAAAGACAACTGAAGAACGTGAAGGATAGTTTAAAAAAATGTCTCGGCAAGAGGTCCAAGATGACCAGATCTGGGGCGGTTGCTTCATCATTGCCTCAGTGCAGATTCTTCGAGCAACTGGCATTCCTATGCAGCGGTGTTGGTAACAGGCCCACAGCGAGCAATTTAGCAGCCCTAAATGCTCTGATATCCCCCCCCCCAACAACCCCAGTTAGTCAGAGTATAACTCTGACTGACGATTTTCCTACAACTTCCCACACGCCACAAGAAGCAACGAGAGCAAGCAAACGACCAGCACCATGCACAGAATTGTTTGCCACAAACAATTCGAAGTGGAAATCGCATGTAAAGGGATGTAGCAGAGCTGATGCTCTTGAAGAAGTTGAGTGACACTGATGCTTCATACAAAAAGATGGCAGAGGATGAAGATGAAGAAGATTTGTTATATTGTTGGAGTCTGGTTCCCATTCTGAGAGGGATGCCAAATAAGAAGAAGAGGCTGGAAAATATTAAAATCAACCAGTTGTTGTTTGACATTGAATACAATAATGAAAATGTTGCTTAGGTATCACCACTTTCATTACATATTATGTAAGAGTGCATATTATGATCTATTTAACAGGCTTATTTTTTATTGAAATGTTATAGATATAATTTAATAAAATCTTTTTCAAAGTGTTCATTCAATAAAATATCAATAATATTATTCAAGATCAGTTTTCAAAGTTATAAATAACAATTTAATAAGTCTGCATGCAATTTATTAATATCAGTTGTCTCAGGAATTTCATGTTCTTGTCACAGTTGCCCATTGCTTTTTTACTGCTCCTTCATTCATGAAATAGTCTTTGAAGTCGTATCTCACTTGCTTTGCAGTTCTTGAGTAATTATTTGATCCAGTTCGAGCAGTAAGTATTAAGCCATCTGAACTGTCATGGTTTTTCTACTAGTGATGGGCGATATACCGAGTACTCTGTATTCGATACCAGCGATACCACAAACAGCGGTATCGGTGTCGATTACTGACGCGGTATCGTTCGATATTTGCACCCTTTTTTTAAACAATTTAATTTCACTTCTTGGTTGAATAAGACTTAATGAACCACTAAAATAAGGCTTAATATTCCAATGTGGTGCGCCTAGTCATCTATAGAAAATATTTATTAAGTTACGGGCTAATGGTTAACATATAGCTTTATTTAGATTACATACTGTAATGGAAAAGGTTTTTTCGCTGACCGGCAGGTATCGAAAGTAGGTGATACTAGCAATTTACGTACTCACTTCCGGTATCGAAAATTGAAATTTTGTGTTCATTTTGGTATCGAAATAGATATCGGTATCGGCCGATACCGATCTTAAAAGTATCGGTATCGAATTAAAAATCCTGGTATCGCCCATCACTATTTTCTACTCACCTGGAGTTGTACCACATATTTTCCTTCATCCACACAATTTGCCGGGCAATAATTGTATGAATTGCTCCTTTAACTTAGAGTAAGACTCATAAGAAAATTATGCAGAGCCACAACTGCTTTGGTGATAAGGACGTCCTTTTTCTCTGTTGCAACGATTGGCCTGCGAAAAACTCTAAAACGAGTTGTTGCAATACCAAATGCATTTTCAAATACTCTCCGCGCTCTTGACATTCGATAATTAAACATTCTCTCACGTAGAGGTAAATACTGGTTGAGGTAAGGTTTCATGAGATTTGGTTTAAGACCAAAACATCATCTGCTAAGAAAGCATATGGGAATGTTTTACTTGGGCAACTTTCCAAGGGCTCTGCTTGAGGAAAATTAAGCAAATCATTCTGCATTGCTCGGCTACTGTATCTGTTCGTGTATACGCTGCCGTCAGCTGGCCTACCAGTGTCTCCTGTGTCTACTATTGTAAATTCGTTCCGAGCATTACAAACAGCAAGCAACACAACACTATGAATGTTTTTATAGTTTAAAAAAATTGAGCCTGAACGTGCTAGTGTCTGCATCACAGCATGCTTTCCATCCAAAGCCCCGAGTGCAGTGCATGAGGGAAATTCCACATCTGTCTAAAATCGTTTGCAATTCTTTTCCAGTGATTGGTATTGCAAGGGACACGCACAAATCCTTGCTCGGAAAGAGCGTTCCACAAAGCATCACAAGTTTCCTGCACAATTCGCCCCACCGTCGTAGGACTTATACGATAGCTCGCCGCAATTGTAGTGTGAGCATCACCCGTGACTAGATATCTCAAAGTAACTGAGAGCCTGGTGGACTTTTTTATTACTAAAGAAGCGACCCAGGTCAATAGCAGCTCAAAAGTGCCGGGTGGCATCCAAAAGAGCCGAAAGAAGTATTCTGGGTCGCCAAGCATCAATTCCCTCACAAGAATGTATATTTTCCTCGTATATTTTTCTCGTATATTTTCCTTACCCAGAATCTCGTTCTATATTTTATATGCGCTGCCTTCTCTTTCTTAAAAGCAACAAAGTAAGTATTTTGCGCCTTAAAACTATCGTATGTTGAAGGCAGCCATTTTCTGTTTATCTGTTTTGTACTTTGTCGCTTGTTCGCGCTCGCTTATTTGCTGCTCGCTGTGGAGATTACAAACATTCATCGCGCGAAAAAATTCGCCTAGTGGAAAATGGGCTTTAGATATAAGGCTCGTGCGGAACAGTTTATTTTAGAGAATTAGAGAAAATACATGTACGAGCCGCCAAACATATTTATGAATTGGTTTGCCAACGCCAACAGTAGACGTTTTCGCATAAATTGGGTCGAAATCACTTAATGATATATTCTCTTATAGGTTGTTATACCCTGTTGCGTACAACTGTTATTACGATCACTTGACTATCCCTCTTCATTTTGATTTAGAAAAATACCGTTGTAATTATGATTTGAGAAGAAAAGCAAATTTCTTACTACCTAGGCCAAAAACTAATTTCTTAAAAAAACTCAATCCTCTGTCAAGCTGGTGTATCTATTATGAAATTTATTATAGAGAACAATTTGACAACAACACAAGAGGCATAAACGCTATAGAACTATGTTAAAACGTGAAACAAAGACACTATCTTAATATACTACAGCTAGCTATATAGACTTAACAGACTTACAATAGATAAAGAAAAATTTAAAATTATAATTTATCTAGATATATTTAATGCTTATATGTAGGCCGAATTGAAAGTATATAGGTTTTATCGTTACCTACATTAATTATTTTTCATCTTATCCAGAAACAGTGATTGTTTCAGATATTTCAAAGCAAAATGTTATTTAAAGTGTTTATGCATGCAATTTTTATCGCTATGGATACAGAGAGGAAATATATGCTGATAGTGGGAAGCAGTTGCAAGTAGTGAACTTCAGGTTTGCGGAATTACACGCACAAGGTGTAGTCCATAATTATTACCTTCAAAAAGTATTGGTGAAATCAAGGGTGAAATTGCGCAATTATATACTGTAAATATTTAAAAAATGAAGATCAACAATTGTGGAAGTTAATAATGAAAGTTCATTATAGACGCAATACTTATGATTTATCGTGCAAGTGCACACATAGTTATATAGGGACCATTCATTATTTATGACCGGGGGTGGGCTCGTAAATTTCAATTAATAACTAAACAAAATGTCTTCCCCTCCCCCACCACATCACGAAAAATTCAATGACCCACTTCACATGAATTCTAAAAAATAGTAACCCCCCTCCCCGCCCACCAATGTATACATAGACACATGACCAGGCATCAGATCTACATTTACTTGTGCTTTCAATAATCTGATTAACAGAACAAACTATGCTAATCCAAACTTTAGACTGGCCAGAAGAATTTTGATAAATAATTCTGACCTAAAAATTAGAATCCAGTTTCAGTGTATTTTCTCAGAGGAGGTTGGACAGCCAATTAGGCGAACATCTCGACCAATCAGATCGCGCCATTTTCCTCATGCTCGCACGAAGCATTTGGCATCGAAAATTTACATAGGGCTCATAAATATCGATTTTTTTCATATTGTTATGCAAATTTATTGGGAAATTTCACGCGATACTACTTTTACAACAGTCATTCTATCCATTGGAACGGTATCCTGAAAGGTAAGCGTCATTTTCCTGTTTATTTTGTCCTCTCACTTAGGCGCTATTGGCGTCGCGATGTAATTTAATGGCGTTTCTGTAAACAATCTTTGAATACAAAAATCTCAAATCTCCATGGTTCGATTTCGCTATTTTTTTTCACGATTAGTTAAATAAGTGTATAATCTTTAATTCTATCCAGCCGGTCCCCCTCGGCCTCTCAATCGTTTTCGAGATATTCACCCTTGAATACGTACGGCCCTTTGTAAAATATGCTGCCTTGTCACTCAGATCGATAATGAACTGCTATTACTATAGCTTTTTTCTAAAGAAATTTGATGTACTATAGAAGTTTCGATATATTATGGATTATATATCGCAGTTAAAGTATGTAAATAATTAAAGCACTTCTGTAACAATATTTTATAAATGAAATTTATTGTTTGGCTGATGTTTTAGATTTGAGATTCGTGATTTTGGCTGGATTCTATTTTTGTCAATGATTTTGTCTGCAAGAATTAAGCATCGTCATTAAATTTGGAGGTAATATCGGTCCTTCCAATCTGAACCGACCTTCTACATTTGCAAGATCTCCAATGCTATAAGATTGCCTCCATCAAGTGACCTTTTCTTGTTCACTTCCGTGGTAATGTTATTGAATATTGATATGATGACTTCTGGATTTTCAAAAACAGCGACAATGAGAACTACCATTCATCCACCTGTTTCAAAAATGG